GCAGGGGCCAGGGCAGGGGTACCTGGGTCTAGGCTGGCAGCTGTTTGAGATCAGGGGCAGGGGCCAGTGAAATGAGCCCTAGATTATAGAAGGCCTGGGTTCAAAGCCTGCCCCTGCCACCTGGGGCCTCCATTTACTCATCCATAAAAGGGGGTACACTGATGGCAGTGGGGGATATTTGGCTGGGGTGGGGGGACCTATCCCTGGCCTAGGGTCAGGTGGGGGTTCCTGACCAAGGCGTGGGGAGTGAATGGTTTTGGCAGGTCTGTGACCCCTGGGGCTTAGGATAGAGAGTCCCTAGCCAGCCTTGGGGTAGGTCCCAGTGGAGTGGGGTAGGAGGACGGTTTAGGGAGGTCATGGTCCCCTGGGCCGGGCTCACTCTGGTAGATGTTGGTCAGGGCTCAGTTAGGTCCGGTCCCAGCCCGGACAATTGGTCCAGGGAATTCCTAGCTCCTTGGGCTTGAGAAATGTGGGTGGGGCCTTGGAGCTGAAAGGAGTGATCCCTGGCCCCAGCAGGTACCCATTAGGAGTGGGGTAGGAGTCATGGCCCTTTGACCCGCACTCACACAGGTCTGGGGCCCTAGGGCTCAGGGTGGGAGTTCCTGGCTGGGCTTGGCAGGGCAGCGCAAGTGCCTGGAGAAGTCTGGGCTTCAGGGGCTTGGGGTAGAGGGCTCCACTTAGGGTTAGGGAGAGGGGCTTTGGGGTCCCTGGGCTCGCGGCTCCCTGGGCCAGGCTTAGGTACCACCTGGCAGGCCTTGGGGCAGGGGAGGATGGGCTGCCCCTCTCCACCCCCTTTGGGTAACTGTCCCAAGAAGGGGTCAGGATGGGGCCCATCAGGGGGCAGGGGCTCCCCGGATGGGAGGGGAGGTCTGGCCCCATCACTCCTCTCTGCCCCGGAGGCTTCGGGTCCCCCGGTGGCGGGGGGGGGGTGGTGGTGCCAGGAGGGGCTTGGGGCGCCCAGCTCGCTCACCAGCACCAGGCGGCCCTGCAGTCCGGCTCCGGCTCCGGCTCCGGCTCCGGGCGGCGGCGGCGCGATGCGCGGGGGCCCGCCCAGCAGGGCGCCCTGCAGAGTGTAGCTGGCCTGCGGCCGCCGCAGCCGCACATCCACTCGCGCCCCGCACCCGGGGCTGCCCAGGCCCAGGCCAAGGCCGAGGGGCAGCAGCGCGGCCAGCAGCAGCAGCAGCGGCGGCGGCGGGGGCGGCCCGGGCCGCAGGAGAGCGGGGCCGGCCATGGGCGCACGGAACGCGGCGGCGCGGCCGGGGAGAGCGCACGGGGCGCAGCGCGCGAGGGGGGCACTCGGCCGGAGCTCCGAAAGCCTAGCTCCGGACCCGCCCGGCCGGACAGCGACACGAACACCGGCCCGGCGCCGGCCCGGCCCGGGGACGCCCTCTGCAGGCTGCGGAGGGCCGGGGGGGCGGGGGCGGGGCGGGGGCGGGGAGGAGGGGCCGGAGGCGGGGCCGGGGCGGGGAGACCCAGACCGGGAGTCGGAGATGCCGAAAACCTGGCAGCAGCCAGAGATGGGAACAGAGACAGAAGGAGGGGGAGAGAGGAGGGGAAAGGAGGGGAGGGGGAGGGGAGGGGAAGAAAGGGGAGAGAGAGACACAGAGAGACAGAGAGAGAAACAGAGACAGAAGGAGGGAGAGAGAGGAGAGAAGAGGACAGGAGAGGAGGGGAGAGAGAGATACACACAGAGACAGAGAGAGACAGACAGAGAGAAGAGACAGACAGACAGGCAGGCAGCCAAGGCTTCCTAGAACTGGCCTTTGAATCATACTTTAAGAGGTGGGTAGGAATTCATCAGGTGAAGGGGGGGAGGGGAAGCCATTCCAGGCATAGGGAGCACCATAACTAAAGGCCAAGTCGTGGGTGGAAGGACATGGGGTATGTTTTGAAGAAGGAGAGTAGACCTGTCCGGCTGGAATGGTGAGTCCCTGGAGAGGAAGGATGTGACATAGGGCTAAAGAGTCAGTCAATTAGAATTTATTAAGTGTTTACCAAGGCTGAGGTAGGGCCAACCTGATTGCAAAAAGCCCCGAATGCCGGGCAAAGGAGTCTAAACTTTACTGGGAGGGCAGTAGGGAGCCATTGAAAGTTTTTTGAGCTATGGAGAGATAGGACCAGGTCTGCACAGAAGAAAGATTTTGGCAATGGGGTGAAGGTGAGGCTGGAGGGAGGAGAGAACATTGGTGGAAGGCTGCTGCAGATGCCCAGGAGGGCAACCAGTGAAGACTGGACCCAGAGCGGAGGTGCTGGGCATGGAGAGGAGGAGGCTTGAGGAAGGGGTAGAATTCCCAGGTCTTGGTAACGGATTGGTTGTGAGAGTGAAAAGTCTGGGATGCTGCCCAGGTAATTAATGTGGAAGAGCCAGTGATGGGGAGTCAGGAAGGCCAGGGAAGGAAGGCTCACCTTGGAGAATGTTCTGGTAGGACGTCCAGCTGGCTGCAGATGGCAACGGGCTGCAGGCCTGACTAAGCATGGCTGAAATCGATAGAGGGCTCCTAGGTCTGCCGAGCATGGACATATCTCGTTGGCCCGGGGAATGCCACCCTCCTCCTCTCTGCCTCCGGCATCCCTGGCTTTCTTCAAAGCTCAGCTCAAAGGCCGTCAGTTAATCAGTAAGAATTTATTTAGGGCCTACTGTGTGCCTGGCATTGTGCTAGGCCCTGGGAATACAAAGGAAGAAGAAAACCCATCCCCACCCGCAAGAAGCTTACATTCGACTGAGCAGCAACAGTTAGAAGTTTAATCAAGCAAGCTACAAACAAGTATTTATTAAGCTCCTACTATGTGCTAGGCAATAGGGTTACCAAAACAAAGATGAAAGAAATCCCGGCCCTCCAGGAGCTTACATTCGATTGAGTGTCTATGGATTGGAGTATAATCAATGAAGCCACAAACAAGTATTTATTAAGTTCCCACTATGTGATAGGCAAGGCAGCTAGGGGGAGCCATAGCACGCAGAGCGCTGGGCCTGGAATCAAAAAGACCCATCTTCCTGAGTTCAAATGTGACCTCAGACACTTACTAGTTGTGTGACCCTGGGCAAGTCACTTCACCCTGTTTGCCTCAAGTTTCCTCATCTGTAAAATGAAGTAGTGAAGGAAATGGCAAGCCACTCCAATATCTCTGCCAAGAAAACCCCAAATGGCTCACAGAGGGTTTGACATGACTAACAATAATGTGTTAGGCAGTAGGGTTACCAAGACAAAAATGAAAGAAATCCTTGCCCTCAGGAAGCTTACATTCTATTAAATTGATATAGCAGTCAGGTTGCCAGGGGGCCTACTCTACAATGAACAAGGAGAAATGGGCGCAGGCCTTCACCATCAGCTCTATTCGAGGTCTCTTCTAATCCCCCAGGGCCCAGCTGCCAGGCTTCCCTCACCACACGACCTTGGGTTCTTTTTCTGTAGGCTCCCATGTGTCCATTCTGTCTCTACCACTAGAATGTAAGCTTCTCAAGGGCAGGAGCTGTTCCATGGGATCATAGTCCTGGAGCTCCAAGGAGCCATACCTAGGCCAACCTCCTCATTTTACAGAGAGGGAAACTGAGGTTCAGTGAGGTTAAGCGACTAGCTTAAACTCACATAATGAATACACATTAGAGGTAGGCAGCATTCGAACCCAGATCCGCTAATTCCAGAGCTAGAGCCCTTTTCACTGTCTGCTTTGGTCTCTGTACCCCCAGCACCAGCACAGCCCCTGGCACACAGCAGGAACCTAATAGATGCTTGTTGATTGAATCATACAGCTCTGTGAGGGAGGTACTATAGCTATGGCTCTCTATTTTGCACATGGGGAAACTGAGGCTCAGAGAGGTGATGGGACTTGCCCATGGTCACCTTGAGTAAAACAGATACTGAGGGAAAAGGCAGGCAGAGACAGAGATGGGGAGAGGGAGAAGGAGATGGGGAGACAGGCAGAGGGAGAGGGAAAAGGCAGAGACAGCCAAGAGGGGAGAGACAGCTAGGAGAAGTAAGGAGCTAGAGAGAGGTAGAAACAGAGGGAAGGGAGTGGGAAGACAGAGGGAGCAAAAGAAAAGCCAGGCAGGGGAAGAAAGTAAACTGGAGAGACAGACAGACAGCAGACAGATGGAGGGGGGGCAGGGAGGGAGACGGAGGGGGAGCAGGGGGATGAGGAGACCCAGGGAATATAAGAGGGCCAGGGAAGACAGAGGGAGAGAGTGAGGGGAAGGTGAGGAGACAGACAGCACAAAGCAGAGGACAGACAGAGGTGAAAGGAGAGACAGAAAGAGAAATGAGGACAGAGGGAAAGGTGAGGGGAGAAAGCAGGAAAGTAAGAGAGACACATGAGAAGGCAGCAGGAAAGATGAGGAGAGAGAAACAGAAGGAGAGACAGAGACAGAGGGAAGACAGGGACAGAGGGAGAGTGGGGGGAACAGATGCAGAGACAGCAGGAAAAAGAGGGAGGGTAGAAGTAGAGGGACTAGGGAAATAGAGGAGAAACATGAGGAAGGGGAGAAGAAGGCAAGGAGGGAGATATGAAGAAAAAGAAGGAGACCGAGGTGGGAGGGAGTCAGATATAGGAGAGAGAGCGACAGAGAGAGAGAGACACAGGAGGAGGGAGACAGAAAGATAGAGAGGGAAGAGAGAGAAACAGACAGACAGAGAGGAGGGGGGAGACAGAGAGACAAAGGAAGAGGGAGAGAGAGGAAGAGAGAGAGACAGAGACAGAGA